AATTACAAAATTTCAACTAGTTTCATAAAGAATAATGAAAGATATAATTGACTGAATACATCAAAATGGATTTCTATTCGGACAACCCTTTCTGAGCGCTGATTGGCTAGAATACGAACACGAGATCACCTGGTTTGTTTAGCAATTTACATTTCAGTCGAGGATTGCGCTTTTTTTGATACACCCTGTATAACTGGATCAATATAAACTTCATGACCAGGTATCCAGTGTAGTCATGTGAGAAAAACAAAGCAATATGCGTTTTTCATACGAAAGTAGCGAGTTCACGATTCACGACGCGGCTAGAGAAGACGCGTTAGAAAAACTTGGTAACAGTAGCGCGTCTTAATTGTGTAATTCCAAAGCGTAGTCGACGATTCCACTACGGAATTTTGTCAATTTCACGTTGTGATCACTACGCTGCAAAGTTCAAGTGAGTATCGAATACTTTTTCATTGAAAACGTGAATTTAAGCACGGACTGAGATTTACTCCGGTTTGAACTGAAATTCTAACTCAGCCCGGGCTGAATTTTGCCGTGTTGACTGGGTTGAAATTTCAGTTCCGTTAACAGGATTGAAATTCAGCCCGGGCTGTAAACTCGTATAATGTAATCAGCCCCTTTGTCAGTGGTTGTGTTTGTATAACATGGGAGAAAATTGCACCGGAATATTAAATTATAGAACTGCACGAAAGCATGAAATTATTGGTGTGTCGCAATCATTGCCCTGAGATTTATAAAACAAAGATCAACCTCGTTCCCAGGCTCTTACCAGTTGTGAAGGAAAGACCCTGGTAGGTCTGTTCACGTGATCTGCTAAAATCGAACAGATTTTAAGTTTTAATTATAATTGATGATGTTGACAAATATTTGATAGTCATACTTTATTTTATAACTTGCATTTTGTTTTGCAAGTTTGATTTGATTTTAAAGAAATCCAAGATAGTTAATTAGAAATCTACTAGATTTTAGCACATCACGTGACCAGTTCCTACCCTGGTCTTTTCTCCACAAGAGGTAAGAGCCTGGGAACGAGGTTGGACAAAGATATGGCAGCCATTTTGGAGCAAACACGCTCCAAATACAATAGCTGGTAATTAGACTTTGTAGTGTTTACTGACTATGAATATTTTTTATTATTCACAGTCACAGAAGCATTCGGCTGCCAGGTCAAGTTGCTTGACAGGTGATAATTATGCAAAAACTTAATTATGTCTAAAATTATGAGACTGCGCCGAAGGCGAAAGTCGTCTGCTACATACGCAAAAATCTCACATCTTGTAGCAAGTCTGCCAACAAGCCGTCAACAAATTGTGTTCGTACTACTTGTCACAAGTTGTCAACAAGTTTGGAACAGCTTAACAATTTGTAACAACCTTGTTGACAGAGGCGCCGGAATATCGATAATTGCGGGGGCAGATATTCATATACTCGTGTTCACAGACTGTAAAAACAATCGATTTCAAAAGAATTTAATTGGGCAGAACACGAATATATGAATATCTGCCCCCCCCCCCCAATTATCGATATTCCAGCGCCTCTGCTTGTTGATATTATCAGACTTGTTACAGGTAGTGTTCCACTGCAAATCCGATACAGTCATGATATAGCAGTATTGTTACAACCTTGTAACGTTCTTGTTATATCACGACTGTATCAGACTTGCTAGAACAACCTTGTGACAAGTCTGATAATGCCATCAAGCTTGTCACAAGTTGTTAACAGCTTGTTTCAAACTTGTTCCAACAACTTGGAACAAGCAGTGCGAACACAACTTGTCGACAGCTTTTGAACAGATTTGTAACAACTTGTTTGCAAACCTGTAACAACTTGTGCGTTTTTACGTGTGTACTACAAGTTTGTTTTATGTCAATCCGAAGACCAGTATATTTACAAGTTTAGCATTTTCGGTTGTGTTTTTGGTTATGAATGCAGTAGCTATATACTCTGTATAAGGAATTTAGAACGATTCGGAGATACAAGTTATTTTACTTTTAGTGCTGATAATTATTGCAAAATTTTAGCGATTAATATATTATGAAAGCAACACACACTAAAATTATGCTTTTAGTCAAACTTTCCAAGTCATTCCCGAGATAAAATCAGCAGCGAAGTTTTATTCTTGCATTTGGTTTCAATACACTAGCCTTCTTTCAGTTCAGTATTCCGGTTTTAGCTTGTGTGAATTATATAAAGCTTACAGTGGTTAACCCCTATGCGTTTATAGTAAACGCGATTTCAAAACCCTTGTTGTGGCAAGACGCTCGGTTAATTAACAATTATTCATCGAACTGGAGGTAAATATTAGAGAGGTTAAGATAGCCCGGTTTCGGTGTACGTGTACGGTTAGCATGATTTTAGTTAGCAATATTTTCGTCGATGTCTGTAGCTTTACTCGTAATTAAGGTGCACATTTTTCGCATTATACTATTGTCTATTGCAAGAAAACAGAAAAAGTATGATCGAATTACAGACATCAGTAAAACAAGATGACACTACTCGTACCCGTACACCGAAACCAGGGTATCTTAACCTCTCTAGTGCAAGGATATTTACCGAAACGTGAAGGGTTGAGCCCGGTCACCCAAGATCTTGGATCAGTCGAAGCGGGATCTCGCTTAGGCATGCCAGCTCGGTTTCAATTTAGACGCAAAATGAAATTTAGTAGGAAATAATAACAAAGGCAGGATCTCGCCTAAATCGGGCCAGCTCGGGGCTGACTCGCCCCATATGAACAGCCTCTAACTACAAATTATTTTTGGTTAACCTGCAAAAAATACAGGCAGGCATATCGATAGAAGTCGTCCATGTTAGACTAATTTTGATCTAGGCAAAAAAAAGTAAATTCCCGTAACTCGTAAGGAACTTATTAAAATTAGTGAAATTGCAAAATTTGGTTACGAAATGTTGTAAAATACGGAAATTATAGCCTTGCGAAGTTCGTTAAGGAAATTGTTACCATTTTTGAGGCGAAAATGGTAACAATTCGCGCACGTAATACAAACATATACAAAATTTGCAAACTTTGCGAGGCTATATTTTCCAAGCTTTACAACATTTTGCAACCAAATTTTGCAATTTTACTAATTTGTGGTGTTTGATTCCCTTCTCTTGACTTAGATTAGAATTTAGTCTAACATGCAAGTTGTCCATTAAATGATCAAATATTTTACTGATTTTAGACGCAACGTGGTTGGATGAAGCTTTCTATCTTGCGAGCAAAGACATAGTGGACTCATTCCTTAGCAGGCGAGATACTTTAGTATGCCATGTTTGGGAGAGTCAGGCCATCGGATATTGGATCAAGAATATTTCGGATCTAACTACATTTGCGGATAACAAAAGAATTTTACATGAGCAAACGGGATTTAGTTCAGAACAGGAAGTGTTGAAAAGGACAGAGATTTGCCATTCAGTTCTTGCCATTCATAAAAGTTATCCTGAAAAGATGAGAATGTTTTGGCGTATTTATGAGAAAGAGGACAATACCATCGCATACCAGGCGCCTCTCGTATCCTATGATTGTGAATATCCACCTGCAATGAACTATATGGTATGGAATAATGTAAAAGTGTGGTTTTCTGAACCGAAATTATGTAAAGACAATCCAGTATGGGGCGGAGATGGAGAATATAAAGGACGACAGGGATCCTGATATGTTTTGCATCAACATATTAACCATGCAGTTGGTGAAGCTAACAATAGCAACAGATCATGCTATGCAAATATATTCAAACTTTTAGAAATGTATTGTCTTTGACCCTGTTTAGATGCAGGTATATTAGCATAGCATGACCAGTTTCCATGGCTAGCTCGCCACTGCTAATTACGGACACCTCTCTTAAGCGGACATGCAGCTCTATAAAGTGGACACACACCTTCGGTTCGAATGATTTCTTTAATAAAATTAATGCTAAATAAAAATGTTATACCGTAAACCTCCGACTATAAGCCCCCACGAATATAAGCCCACCACATTACTAACGCTCACCTCATTCCAAACATAAGCCCCCCGAATATAAGCCCACCCGAATATAATTATAAGCCCCCCAAGTATAAGTCCCCCGAATATAAGCCCAGTAGCCCACTACGTTATTCAACATTGACATTGTCTTTTAATATAGCAGAGAACGATATTTAAAAACATTGTCATTGTCTGTATAGCCGACTATGTAAATCAAAGCGCGTTTTACATGTATATCTTCCTGTTTATGACTTACTTGTTTATGTCTGACTTGTTTATTGCCAACACAAAAGATCGTCCATGTATTAGCCCCCCCCCCCGTAAATAAGCCCCCCCCCTTGTATAAGCCCATCAAAAATCGCTTACGAAAGTATATAAGCCCAGGGCTTATAGTCGGAGGTTTACGGTACCCGCATTTGGCGGACACATCTATTAAGTGGAAGCGGACATTTAACTTGAGGTCCGAATGAGCGGAATAACCTCTCTTAAGCGGACAAACGGAACTGATGAATATGCTAAATTAAATTTTCATAACAATCAAGGGTTAAAAATCAATTTGAAGAAAATTCACTAGACATGCACGTATTTGTTATGAATGTTTTGTAATATTTCTGTGTGGTATAAACGCTAATAACTTGAAATAATCTCATAAAACAAATTTTAGCCCGCGTGCAGGCCCACCGAGGGAAGAATAGTGGGCCTGCAAGGAAGACCGGGTATTTTGTATTTGTCCCGTTCGCACACGAACGCAGCATTCTGATTGGCTGTTTGATTGTGCTTTTCGTGGTGAAGATTTAGAGGCAGTTGCATGTAAGCCTATTCGAAGCACTTTACGATTTGTAGGGCTTCTCTGAGAGAGCGAAACAATTTTCATCATTTAAGTAGATTTTAAAATATAATCTGCCCGACTTAAACATATTTCTCCCATTCCTGTTCACATTAACCAGATTATGGTAGGAAGTGAGGCAGAATAACCAAGAAATTTATTCAGGAATATTAAATAAACTTAAATCAAAATGAAATTCCACAAAAGGAAATTTAATCAAGAATGTTAAAATGACCCAAATAGGTTTATTTTTAGGTTAATCAGGAACATTTTAACCAGGGTTGTTCAAAATGAAATTCCACAAAAAGAAATTTAATCAAAAATATTAAATTGACCCAAATGGTTTATTTTTAGGTTAATCTGCAGGAACATTTTAACCAGGGTTGTTCAAAATGAAATTCCACAAAAGGAAATTTAATCAAGAATATTAAAATGACCCAAATAGGTTTATTTTTAGGTTAATCAGGAACATTTTAACCAGGGTTGTTCAAAATGAAATTCCACAAAAAGAAATTTAATCAAGAATATTAAATTGACTCAAATGGTTTATTTTTAGGTTAATCTGCAGGAACATTTTAACCAGGGTTGTTCAAAATGAAATTCCACAAAAAGAAATTTAATCAAGAATATTAAATTGACTCAAATGGTTTATTTTTAGGTTAATCTGCAGGAACATTTTAACCAGGGTTGTTCAAAATGAAATTCCACAAAAAGAAATTTAATCAAGAATATTAAATTGACTCAAATGGTTTATTTTTAGGTTAATCTGCAGGAACATTTTAACCAGGGTTGTTCAAAATGAAATTCCACAAAAAGAAATTTAATCAAGAATATTAAATTGACTCAAATGGTTTATTTTTAGGTTAATCTGCAGGAACATTTTAACCAGGGTTGTTCAAAATGAAATTCCACAAAAAGAAATTTAATCAAGAATATTAAATTGACTCAAATGGTTTATTTTTAGGTTAATCTGCAGGAACATTTTAACCAGGGTTGTTCAAAATGAAATTCCACAAAAAGAAATTTAATCAAGAATATTAAATTGACTCAAATGGTTTATTTTTAGGTTAATCTGCAGGAACATTTTAACCAGGGTTGTTCAAAATGAAATTCCACAAAAGGAAATTTAATCGAGAATATTAAATTGACCCAAATAGGTTTATTTCTTGGTTAACCAGTAACATTTTAACCAGGGTTGTTCAAAATGAAATTCCACAAATTAGGAAATTTAATCAGGAATTTTAATTAACCCAAATAGGGTTAATCAGGACATTTTAACCAGATTTGTTCAATCCAAGGTTAACAAAATATGTTGTTCAAAAGTCGGTTAATCCAAGGTTAACAAAATATTTCAAGGTTAACAAAATATTCAAAATATTTGAACATGCATGGAAATACCTTTAAAGTTTGGTCGTTCACTGCAACCAGGTATATCAATCATGTTTTGCTCGTTACTCTGGTTTAAATAAATGACCAGAGTAGCGAGCGAAACATGATGGAAATACCTTTCTAGGACTCTTGTCTGCATGAACAGAAGTTTTATTTTCTAACGTTTTGAAATAAACAGACGTGAAGAAATTCACAAACCGAAACAGCCAGTTAAATTTCAACCAGGGTTAGCGCTAATCCAGCCTTAAACAACCACGTCACCCCCAGGGTGTTTTTAGACTGTAGGCCTAGAAGACATGCCAATATGTTATAGAAATCATATTTCTAAAGAACGACTCATAACAATGGTAATTTTTATTTCAATTCATATTAAGTAGATAGTGAATTTTAAAAGTTATAAAATTAGTGACGTTTCACTTTTTGAACGTTCTGTAGTCTACTAGATATGCTTAAAGTTCACCAGATCTGCTACTCGCTCAAGTTTGAGCGCTAACTATAATCAATTGTCATCATTAGCTTCAATGATCACAACTGGACAGAAATAAACAAACTTAAAGGGAAATAGCAATACATTTCCTCCGTTTGAAAGAGTGATTCAACAAATTTGAAAATCTTATCACAGATTTTTTTATTGTTTTGGTATAAAAGATATTGCACTTCATTTCAAATAAAATACTTATGCATTCCGCCATCTTGGATATGCATATCCATCGTCGGATATGTGTGACGTCACAACCGGGTAACATTATTTTGTATCTAAGGTAGTTTCAATGCTAATTGCTATATTTAAATACCGTCTATTTTAAATTAGAGTCCAAGCTATGTATAAGCATTTCACTGATATTATTTTTATTTTTAAAACGTCTACCCTGATTGTGACATCATTTAACTGGATCTACAGTAGATGGCGGATACCAAAATGTTTTAGTTTCAAATATCTCAAAAATTAAGATAGTTTGGGAATATTTGAAAAAACGACTTGTAATATCAACGTTCTTCCAAATGAAACAAATATAATTTTTGTTGCCATTTTCCTTTAAGGAATGCTTATAATCTAGTACAGAACAGTGACTTAGACTAACAACGTTGAACAAGGGAAAAACAAATTTAAACTGCTCCCAAGCTTGAGACGTTCAAGCTTATCGTAATCTCACGTCCCCGTTCTATATAAAACATTGAACATTTCTTAACTTGTTCAGGAAGTTTGCCTCAAGTTAAAAGGAATAAGGTTTAAAATAGAATTATTTACAGTTATACATTCAAGCTAAAATATGCGTTGTCGGCGTTTCGTTTAGCAGACGACATGCAAATTACGAAACAATTAATTAAAGGGAAATAGCAATAAAAATTAAGTTTGTCCCATTTGTAAGAGTGATTCAATAAATTTCAAAATCTTAACACATACTTTCTTTATAGTTTTTGATATAAAAGATGTTACTCTTCATTTCAAACAAAATCATTACGCATTTCGCCATCTTGTATATTATGCATATCCATCGTCGGATAAGCTTGACGTCACAACTAGGGTAACATTTTGTACCTTGAGCATTTTAATGTCAAATCCTATTTTTTAACTCCTGGTCATTTTAAATTATAGCGCAAGCTATATACATAAACTTTCAACCGATTTATTTTTTAGTTTTAAAACGTCTACCTACGTCATTTTCTTTTGAGGAAATTAAACCGTTAAGGGACCGTTCATTATTTATACCTGGAATTGGTACCGAAGAGAAGCGAAAAACACTGTAATTTTTTTATTTACCCAACCTCGACAATGGTCAAAATAATGTTTACCGGCCCATGTCTAGTATACTGTACTGCATAATAATTATTACACACAAGATTATGGTGACAGAAATCAAGATGCCTAAATTCTAAAAGCTTCACTCACACACAAACTCACTGAGTGTGTCAAAGCAATCACAATCCCGCTGATCAATGATAGAGTCCTTCCTCAATCACTGATGATCTATTTTGATACAAAATGTAGGTATTTTACACATTTTTCTTTATATTTTCCAATGAATGCTAATTTTAGTTTTATTTTATAGCTGACAGACCAGGGCCTTTTTTAACATACAAGCTGGGGGGCATTTGCCCCCCCCCCCACGGAAATCACATTTTGCCCCCCCAGGAAAAGTCCCTTTTTCCTAAATGTATACCAACAAAACAGCGAAGAATAACAAATAAATAAACGGAAAGTAAGTTTTAGGCTTTATCCTTTGTCCTTGTTTAACAAAATCGATCTAAATTGTTACGTTTTTCTACCACTAAGTAATGATAAATTATTGTTAATAATTTTTTATTTTTTGGTTGCTCAGAAGGCAGGAAAGAGCATTTCCAGGTTTCAAATTTGAAAAATTTTCTGGAGATTATGCCCCCACACACGTGGCCTTCGGGCATTGGTATCCCCCTCTAATAAGTATAATGATAAATTATGGTTAATATTCTATTTTACTTTTTGTGCATTTTTTCCTTCTTTTATTTCAAATACAAGTATAGTTAGCATAAATTTTAGAGCAAATTTGGATGCTCAGAATGCAGGAAATGGCATTTCCGTGTTTCAAATTTCAAAAATTTTCTGGGGGAGTACACCCCCACACACGTGACCATTGAGATCCTCCTCTAATAAGTAATGATAAATTATGGTTAATATTTTTTTTTAAACTTTTTGTGGGGTTTTTCCTTCTTTTATTTAATTTTGGAGCGCATTTGGATGCTCAGAATGCAGGAAATGGCATTTTTGTGCTTCAAATTTCAAAATTTTTCTGGGGAAGTACACCCCCCCTCATTCATGCGTGCATGGTATATTCGGCGCACACGTGGCCTTCAGCCATTGCTATCTCCCTGTAATATATTATCTCACAGAAAGGTCCCTTTTCAAAAAATCCCCCACGGGAAAATTCTTAAAAAAGGCCCTGTGACAGACAGCCATAATTTTTTTTACCCAATCCATGAGCTAGTCAAAAACTTGATTACGCAACCCATATCTCTTCGGTACCAACCCCGGGTATAAATAATGAACGGTCCCTAATGGGAGTAATGCTATTCACAAATTATTGTATAGATTGACATTAATTTATCAGTTCGCTGAACATGAAACCAAATATATATCGTTTCGAAATCTATTTAACACGATCCTTTGACAAAGTTATACTGTGCACAAAGCATCAAAACAAAGACAGTCAGTTGTTTTCGATAAATCTAATATAGACTTTTAGATTTTTTGATGTTCAGTCGTTGCACATATGTGCTATATTTGTTTAGCTATATAATTCTAAATACCTAGTATTTAAAGAATTATGTAAGGCTGTAGTTATTACAACTTGCTATAGATGAAATAAATTTCACAAGAAAAACAACAAACATGCTGTTTCAACTTTTTCAGAAATGAACAAATAAAAAAAATGTATTAAAAAATCAAATCAGTCGCTTTCATCTCCTTAAGAATTAAACAGCCCTGCTAAACAAATACTGGCAACGCAGATTGTTTTATATGCGCACGGGTTAACGACTTCATCTAGTTTTCGGACTGAAGAAGGTTTCAAGCTATTTTCATGTGAGCGAGATATTTACCGTTCATGTAAACAACACAACAGTTTTATGTTAATTCACTTAAATTTCTTTTGTTTTTGGTGCATTATATGCTATAAGTGCATGGTACATTTAAAAACTTACATACTCCTGCATGGTATACCTATAAAATTAACGGTTACCTCGGCCCGCACGTAAGGTATGCTTTAATACTTTGGCCATGCATATATGCCTTAATTCTTACGTTGTATTCTATTAGCCAATAAAATTCAAATAGACTTAATATATCCCTTTGACAGTATCATCAATTTCGTATCAACTGCTTTAGCCAATAAAATCGAAAGGAATAAAGATCAATGTGAAACTGAACATTAAAAAATATTACAGAGTTTGCCGAACTACGCTGTCGTTCTCGGCACAATTTTGTGAATAACCTCCGAATAAATGAGCGCAATATTTGTATAGTAAACATACAAATTTGCAAGCGTTCTGACTCCGTGTCAAAAATTATGATCTTTCTGTCATTTGTATAAAACAACCTAAAAACTAGAAATAATTACAGTCTACATGTGCAAGTAGTAGTATTATGCAAGAAAATAAACCAAAGGTGACTGTCGATAAATTTATTGTATAAAACGTTTTTTAACTGAACCATACAAAGATATTTTCGTAGGTTCATATGATCCATATTTTTGTCAATAACTTTTTTTGCGTAGGCCTATAGCATGTATAATTTTTGCGTTGACTATATTTAAGGGTAATGATTTATCGTGTGGAATGCTTAACTATTCTATACTTTTCTTAACATTTCGGTATTCGAAAATTTTGTAAGAAATGTTCACACGCCTCCCGGTCTTAAACGGTAATTTTTAATTTAATTCTGTTTCTTTTTAGATTTTAAATGTATTGTAATTTTTTTGTTTTTTTCAATTACCTTAAATCATTAAATAGCCATGTTTTTGTTTACAATTTGGCATTTAAATCCTCCTCGCCATTTTTTTTTGTGCACGCGCATGCGCAGACATTTTTCCGCGGTGTTAGGACAAACAACGTCCTGAGCGCAAAATACCAGTACGCATGCGCACTGGGCTAAATCAACCAAGGGCCACAAGTGACCAGCGTTGAACAAATAACAAGTTTGAACACGCATGCGTATTCGCATAATATCGTAATAAGCTGTTTGCTTTTCCTGTATACTTGGAAGAAATCGTCACTCGTGCCAAAAATTATTCAACATGTTAAATGTACATTACCGCACACTGGGGGAATTTGCTCACGCAAGGAGTCTCGAGTGAAATGTTGCTAAGCACATAACTCTAGTGTGCGCCGAGCTTTAGCTCAATGTCAAGCCCTACACTTTTTGAGGATAAGGGATGTGACCGGCTAATTCACGGGAAGGAAAATTCATGGCCATGGCAAAGCAAACACACCTTACGTGAGGGGCCGAGTGAACAGCTAAGCAGGTAATGCGCAGGAAACTAAACTAAACAAAGTAAAGCTAAATTGTAATTACGATTTATGATAGAAAAACGTCTGGTTTAGCCACTGCCTGTTGAAGAGGTTGCCTGATCTCCACGACTTGTTTCTTCCGCCTGGCCACTGTGCACCACTGTTGCAGGAGCATCCCTAAAACCGTAATTAATCATACTTAAGGTTTACGTATGTTTAAGTTCACGTTTTGTACCATAGATAATATACTATATGCTAGATCTTGTTTTGCGTGGTTTTTGTAATGACCATATACGAACGTATATTTAAATACGTTTATTTTACTGTTTAGTACAGTTGACTGTTTTAAAGCGATAGGGAAGTTACCATGCCAACTGCTATGGTAATAAACCTATATGGTATCAAACCTACAGTACAGTAAAACAAAGTGCAATTTCCTCGTTGTCATACCTTCTAGTAAGGTAAGTATTGAAGGCGATTAGTTATTTTGATTACAGATTTTCACATTACGGTTACGCAGTTATAATTATAGCATGCAGCGTGGATATTGCTAGCCTGCGCGAACCCAGACGGCATTTCCCACATTCATTCTTTGCTCGGAAAGTGACGTTTGCGAACACGAACGGGAATTCGATTTCCGTGACGTATGTTTATTGTCTTATGTTAGCCAATTTTAAAACGAATGTTACAGCGAGACCACACGGCACACGTTAATGTGGGAGCGCGTGTATAATGCGTGTAGGACCACGCAACTTAGTGTGTAAGAAAGTCTATGCAAAACTTCGTTTGTTAAACAGAAAATCGTCCTTCTTACCTAGACACGCTGTGTTGCGTGTATATAAACAAACGATTATGCCAATCTTTGATTATGGGTGCATATTTGGATGGATTGTACAAAACACGTTTTTGATAAGATAGAAACGCATGAGAACCGAGCGATGAGAATTATACTCAAAACCGACAGGAGATCGTGCTCACAGGGCATAAATCTGCTATGGGACAAAGAACCTTCCAACCGAAACACATTCGGGAACTACAATATCTAAAGTTGCTGTTTTTAAATCTCTCTTAAATTCAGATGTTACGAGCCATCGTTGTATGTCGTATAACATTGCACCTTAAAACATTAATTATAACAATTTCTAATTGTATATTTATAACATTAGTTATAGCTTTTCTTATAGTATTTGCAGCACTTGTATTTATACCAGCGGTCGCCTCGGTGACGGCTGACACATCTAATCTCTAAATGGTCTATATATTTTGAATATTTATACTGAATATTTAACCGTTATAATATTTAATAACGAAATAATTAAAAAATATTAACAATATATGTATGTAAAAAATATATCTAACTTGTTAATAGAATGCATTTGTTGCGTTTCTGAGTTTAGTTGATGCGATTGCTTTACTTTTCGTCGTGGTTGAACGGTCGTATTAAATACTGACACTGAACGATACCTTTTGTCGTTACTAAATATTATAACGGTTAAATATTCCGTAAAAATGTTCAAAATATATAGACCATTCAGAGATTGGGCCGCCTGTGCATCTATTTCCTGTTATATTTACTTTACTCTGTTACAGTTGATTTCACAAAACTTTGGCCGCGCCAGTTGCGAGGTTGGTTGGGAATTTGGGAACTATAAACACGAGATCATCAAGTTGATTGGAAACCGGCCAATCAAATTTTGGAAGTTTCGCATCAAATTATCGAAATTCGTTATGAAATTCCGAACCAAGTTCGCAAATTGCAAACGATTTTGGCGGTAAATTTTAAAAACTAAACTTATTGTATTAAACTCATTCATTTAATAATAAATAATATCATAATAATAATAATTTCAGGTTTAAAATTATAATAAGTTTAATACAAGTTTAGTTTTTAAAATTTATCGCCAAAATCGTTTGCAATTTGCGAACTTGGTTCGGAATTTCATAACGAATTTCGATAATTTGATGCGAAACTTCCGAATTTGATTGGCCGGTTTCCAATCAACTTGATGATCTCGTGTTTATAGTTCCCAAATTCCCAACCAATCTCGCAACTGGCGCGGCCAAAGTTTCGTGAAATCAACTGCAAAAATCGTTCGAAAACGTCAGAGCACAATTATAGTAAATACAAAGCGATTATTGTAAATGCAAATATAACGAGCAACTAGTTTGTATTAATTAATGTGCGAAACAGATAATCCAAAATAAAGAAAAATACAGATAAGTTTATTTACTTTTATCACAAGCATAAAAAACCTGATGTATCTTTTGTTAAAAATACATTAATTGTTATTGCAAGAGCCAAAGCCTAAGTGAAAATAAAAACAATAAAATTTATTGAAACACCCCAAGAGCTAAATATGTTATGACTGCTGTTATTGTTGTCATATGCATTTTTCTGTCGCGTGAAAATCCCGCAGATCCCACGAATAAACCGCGCCAGCCCGCGAGCTAGTTCACTGTTTTTAAGAGCCAAATGCGGATTGGCTAATCGCTTGGAAATCGAATTCTCGTTCGGGTTTGCAAACGTTACT